GGCGCTGCTGGGGTTTATGCAGCAGCACCCTGTGTGTTGGGGGTCACACAGGTGCGGGCTGCAGGGGGGGGGGGTCACACAGTGGCGGGTAGTCTTCGCTCATCTGGGGTCTCATGGTCTTCGCTCCTCTGGAGTTCCGCAGTGGGTAGCTGACTGTTGCTTTTCCCAGGTCTCTTCCGGGCCTGTCTGGGGCGGAGCCCTGTCTGGTGGGAATGTTTTATTATGTAAATTTTATTTGGTTTGTACGCAATTCAGTTTCAAAATTGTTAAAATGTGTTTGAGCTTTAGATTATAACATTTGTTGTAGTAATTGCTAGGTTGAAGTTCACCATGTAAAAATAAAAAGGGGAGGCATGGATTTACATTGCAAAAGGTGTCCACAATGTATTAGTGATGTTCTTTCATTGAGAGTTGACATAAATTTCATTTTTAGTAAAGAATTTTAAGCCAAAAAGAAATCCCCTTTTTTAAAAAAGGGATTTAAATATGGTTGGCATTTTATTATTTCCTTAATAAATGCCCCTGGCAATTCCCGGTGGCTTTTTTTCTTTTCCCCCTTTTATTTCTCCTACCCCCCTTACTTTTGTCATTTGAGTGTTACCACCCATTTAAGTTATACTTCTGATCTTAGGGTTTATGAGCTTACCCAGAAATAAGACCACTGTTGAAGTACCACAAAAGCATAAATGAACATTTTAATGCCACAATCTTTCCTGTTGCCTGTGGAGTCTCTGCTGAATGAATCAGGATTTGAGCTCTAGGATGAGACAGACAATTAAAACATGTTGTTTGCCAGGACACTGTGGGTTTATATTGATGTGTGACAAGTTGATTTGGAACACTGGAATTTGATTCCCCTTCCTTTTATTTTGTAAAGGCAATTAACTAGACCCAGGAAGGTTCAAGTAATATAAAATACTGGTTTTTGAAAAAAAAAAAAATTAGGGCAGATAAATAAATGAAAAAGAAGACAGAAAAACAAGTGAAACCATCAATAAAACTAAGTTTTTTTCGAAAAGGTCAAACCACTAACAAAACTAACAAAGGTAAAGAAGGAAAAGACACAAATAATAAAAACAAGAGACGAAACAGGAAATGTAACAACAGTACCAACTAAAATAAAAAGGCTAACAATGGAATATTGTGAAAAAACTATACTCAAAAAATATGAAAAGCTACAGAAAATGGACAAATACTTGGAAACCCACAACCTACCTACACTGACACAAACTGAAATTGAACACCTGAATAAATCACAAAAGAAGAAATAGAAATGGTAATAAAACAACTTCCATCCCAAAATAGCCCTGGACCAGATGGTTTTTCAAGTGAATTTTATCAATGAGAGAAGAACTGTTACCAATTCTTTATAAACTATTTCAGAAAATAGAAAAAGATGGCATTCTCCCAGACTCATTCTATGAAGTAAACATCCTTGATACCAAAGCCAGGCAAAGATACCACAAAAATAGAAAACTATAGGCCAACATCTGTCATGAACATAGACACAAAAATCCTGAGTAAAATCTTGGCCAATAGAAACCAACGGTATATAAAAAAATAATTCACTATGACCAAGTGGGATTCATAACAGGTATCCAATGATGCTTCAACTTAAGAAACACAATCAGTGTAATTCATCACATTAACACAACAAAGAACAAGAACTATATGATCCAATCAATTGATGCAGAAAAGGCCTTTGACAAAATCCAACATCCTTTTCTGATTAAAACAGTCAACAAAATAGGAATAGAGGGGAATTTCCTCATCATGGTAAGAAAGTATATATGCAAACCTGAGAGCCAACATTGTTCTTAATGGAGAGAGAATAATGGCATTCCCTTTGAGAATAGGAACTAGGCAAGGATGCCCACTACCACCTCTCCTATTCAGTATTGTATTGGAAGTCTTAGCAATAGCAATAAGACAAGAGAAGGAAATAAGACATATCTACATTGGCAAAGAGGAGGTAAAATTATCTCTATATGCAGATGATATGATAGTATACTTAGAAAACCCTAAAGACTCAGAAAGAAAACCACTGGACATAGTTGACCAATTCAGCAAAGTGGCAGGATATAAGATCAACATACAAAAAGCAATTGGATTTCTCTACAGTGACAAAGAGAATACAGAAGTGGAGCTAAAATAAAACAATACCCATCTCAATAGCTAATCACATAATTAAATACTTGAGAGTAAATCTAACTAGGAACACAAAGAATCTATTCACAGAAAATTACTAAATATTACTACAAGGGGAAAAAAAGACCTGGAGAAATGGAAGAATATACCTTGTTCTTAGATAGGAAGACTCAATATTGTGAAAAAGACAATCCTACCAAAGGCAATTTACACGTTCAATACAATCCCAATACAAATACCAATTCCATTCTTCAACAAGATGGAAAAGGCAATCTTCAATTTCATTCAGAATGGAAAGAGACTTCAAATAAGCAAAGCACTCCTTAAAAAGAGAAACAAGGTAGGAGGCATCTCCCTCCTTGATTTCAAACCCTACTACACTGCTGTGGTGATCAAGATAATGTGATGCTGGTACAGTGACAGACACATAGATCAATAGAATGGACTTGAGAATCCAGAAATCAGCCTATGGTCAATTGATTTTTGACAAGGAGATAAAATCAGTTAAGTGGGGAAATGACAGCCTTTTTAACAAATGGTGCTGGCAAAATTGGAAAAGTATCTGCAGAACACTCAAGCAAGACTCACACCTATCACCATACACAAAAACCAACTAAAAGTGGAACAAGGACCTAGGACTAAAACCAAGGGCTATAAGCTTTATTAGAGAAAAGCTTGGAAAAACTCTAGAAAACCTAATCCACAACATGAACAGTCTTCCATGCATCCTGAAAAATCTACAACCAGGAGAGGATAAAATACTTAAAAGAGACCTTCTTTTTTTAAAATTTTATTTTATTATTTTTGTTTGTGTGTACTATCAAATTGGATTTGACAGGTACAAGAGGAGATTGCCCCTCCTTCTCCATCTGGTGGATTCGAACCGCGTACCTCTGTGCTTTCAGTGCAGCTTCTTGCCAGTAGGCCACCAGAGCTCCCTGAACGAGACCTTCTAAGAATAAAATACCTATGCACATCCAAAAACTTCTCCAACAGGGTAAAAAAGAAGCCACAGACTGGGGAAAAAAAATATTTGGTAACGACATGTCAGATAAGGGACTTATATCTAGAATTTATAAAATACTCGAGCACCACAACAAGATAAAGGTAAATAACCCAATTGAAAAATGGGCACTGGATATGAACAGACACTTCACCAAAGAAGACATTCAGATGGCCAACAAATACATGAAGAAATGTTCAAAATCCCTAGCTCTAAGAGAGATACAAATAGAAAAAACTATGAGGTATCATCTCACCCCAGTAAGACTAGCAAAATTTAACAGAACAGCAAACAACAAATGCTGGCGAGGCTGCGGAGAAACTGGAACTGTTTTTCACTGTTGGTGGGAGTGTAAAATGGTGCAACTGCTATGGAAGGCAGTATGGTGCTTTCTCAAAAAGTTGGAAATAGAAATACGATTTGACCCAGCAATTCCACTACTAGGAATATACCCTAAAGAAACCAGAACTGCCACCCAAGCAGATTATGCACACCCATGTTTATTGCTACATTTTTCACAATAGCAAAGAGATGGAAACAACCGAAATGCTCATCAACAAATGAATGGATAGAGAAGCTGTGGTATAATCACACAATGGAATACTAAGCAGCACTGAAAAACAAGGAACTCATGAAATATTATACAAAATGGGTGACCCTGGAAGACACTATGCTGAGTGAAATATCTCAGTCACAAAAGGACAAATACTGCATAGTGCCACTGTTGTAAAACAGGACTGACATTGGGGTTGGGAGGGAAACTAAGAAAAGAGGGGATAAATAATGTACCCTTCATGGAAACAGATGAGGGAAAGAACTGCTTTTAAAAGGAATATATAATTAGGTATTATTTGTATGGTCACAGTTCAGAATAAAAGTTGCATAGTAAAGTGGACTGTGGTGGAGGTAGGGAATTAATTGTACAACAATGAATTTTTTTTTCAAAAGAGAAAAGCAAACTGAGAGGGTGTCAGGGAGGGAAATGTGCAACAATGAATGAATGGATATCCAAGTTCTCTATAAACTTTTGTTAAAATTTCAATAAATTTTTTTAAAAAAATGATAGGGCAGGGTTCAGGGCTATTGTTCATACCGTTGTTATGAGCTTTGCCAACTCAGTAGCACATAACAACAAAGAAAAATTAATGCTGTGGAATTGAGACATTGCTGAAGAATCTTGACTATATATCAAAGAACAACAAATCTGTTTTGGATGAAGTATAATCAGTGTGCTCCTTAGAAACAAAGGTGGTGAAACTGTCTCACACATTTGGGCATGTTGTCAGCAGGGGCCAGTGCTTGAAAAAAGACATCACACTTGTAGGGTCAACAAAAAAGAGGAAAAGCCTCAAAGAATTGGATTGACACAGTGACTGCAACAATGAGTTTATTAAGCACAGCAGAGATAATTGAAGGTGGTTCAGGGGAGGACGTATGCAGGGTCATCACAAATAGAAGCTAAATGGACCTAACAACAACAATGAAGCAGTAGTCCCTAGCATCCTGTGTCATATGCTCTGCATGTTTCTTCCATAAGGTAGATTTGTCTCATTCTGGGGAGGGTCATTTATACAGAAGCCAAGCTCTTCTATGGCCCGATAAAGCATGATATACTTGGAGGCCTTCCTTGTCCTTGGGAGCACATAGGTCTCTGTGAAGTCAGTCTTGTCTAGCTGCTCCTTACCCTCAATACTCAGAATGCTGTTGACGAATGTGAGGGTGTAACTGTAACAGTTATGGTTGTCTTCATCATACCTGAAGAGACAAGGACAGGGAGGAAGAAGTTTTGATCTCAAATTTCTCAGGCACTAGCTATGACACTCTTGAAGGATTTTCTCATCGAAACTTAGTCCAGAGAATTGACTGGCCCACTTGTCTACAGTTTCCAGAGCTGTGACTCCTAAGAAACAGCTTGGCATCTTGGGCTGTTTCTATTTGCTGCTTTTGTACAAACAGGAGCTGACTCACCCAAATGTTTACTTACAATGGTGGCTTAATTACCAATTTGAGAACTTAAGTTTTCATTGAAAGTCTTGATTGCAGTGAAAATTAAATATTATTATATAGTGTCTAAAATCTATTTCAAAGAAACCTCAAAACTCTAAAAATCCACACATGTTCTATATTATCTACTGAAGCTCAGTAAAAGAATTATAAAATAATTTTTAAATTGCTAAAACTGGCTATTGTTATTGTTATTGTATGCCATTGAGTCAGAACCAACTCATAGCTCACCCTTTAGTGGGTTTTCAGATGCAATAAATAACACAGGAGATTTTCCATTTTTTTCACATGGAGTAGCTGGTGAATTCAAACCAAGTGTTTTTGGATTGGCAGTGTGACTCCTTATCATAAAGTCACCATAGCTCCTGGTATCTTAGTGAAAAACAAAAATTAGACTTAAAATATTTTTCTATATTTAATATAATTTATGGTATGACTTACTGAAAAACAAAAAATAATACAAAATCTTTTATTTTTATAATTTTTAGTTTTAGGAGAATATGTTATGGATTTCGCTATGTATGTTTTTAATGCTAAGTATTAATTAAATACCTAGGCAATTAAATATGCCTCTTGTGAGCTCTTCAAATGCTTTAAATATATTTTTTACATTTATACTGACTGATCTCAGTGATTAGAAATTGCACTGCCAGCGAGCTCTGGTGGCCTAGTGTCAAGAAGCTGCACTGCAATTCCAGAGGCGAGAGGTTCGAATCCACCAGATGCTCTGCTGGAGAAGGAGGAACAATCTCCTCCTGTACTAGTCAGATCCGATTTAATGGTACACACAAATAAAATAATAAATAAAATCTAAAAAAAAAAAGAAATTGCACCGCCAGTGCAAAGATGTGGGATACAAATATACCACCTGCTCCCAGAAGAAAGATAGGTAATCTCCTCCTATGCAATTTACTGCCTCTGGAAACCCACTGAAGGGTGAACTATAGGTCAGTTCCAACTCATTGGCATTCAACAACATCTCCAAGTAATTCAGCCCATTTAAATTCTGTTACAAGAGCAGATATCTCACTAAGAGGTCTTGAGTTCTCACACAATTGTATCACAAATGTCAGCAATGAGCAGGGTCCTCAGAGTCACGTACCTGTGAGGCAGCCAGATCCCTGAGTTGGAGAATTCCTCCAGGTACTTGTTCCACTGGTCCATCAGTCCATACATGTTGGGCTGCAGCAATGGGATGTTTATGCTCTGTTCCCACCCTGCTTCATCACGGTGGACACCTTGTATGCTGTAATTATACACCACCCCTACAAACCAATACACAAGTCATCCAGAAGCTTTAGGACAAATGTACCTGTTACAAAGAGAATTTAGAAAATACCAGCAGCCCCTTTTGTAAGTTTACATATTATAAACTTGAGTTATGCTTTAAGATTATGCTAGAGAGCTATCGAGAGATTATTAAGAACAGAAAGTAGTCACACACCTAATGAGATTTAGATATAGACTCCCGTGAGCACCTGCATGCCCCCTCAGCAAGCATTCTTCCAGGTAAACCCAAGTGTGGCTTGACCTGCTGTTCAGCATGCTATGAAATGGCCCTGGGAAGCTGAGACTATGAGATGTACCAGGATAATAATCTCCAAATATTTTTGTGGAAGTTTTACATTTACAAATCCTTTTATTGAGTTCCCTTAAATAAGTAATAAATTTACCCCAATATATATGGAGAAGAGATTGAGATTGTTATCAGCTTCAGCTTGCTTGGTTCCACAACCAAGCTGTTGGCATCAGCAGTCAGGAAACCAAAAGATGAACTGCATTGGGAAATTTTGCTGTCAAGGACCTCTCTAGAGTACTGAAGAGCAATGATGTCAGTCTGGAGACTACGGTGCATCTGATCCAAGCCATATTCTTCACAATTGTTATTTAACATACTACCTGAAAAAAATCTATAACACTTGAAGAGTTTGAAGGTTTTATCTATATTCTTTTCACACATTTAAATTTTTAGATTTTATACTTACAATATCTGTTTTCCCATCTCAATTTAGGTTTTGTGCATAGTGTATATAATGGTCAAGGTTAATGCTTTTATAAGTATTGTCATAACACAATTTGTTGAAAGATGTCTTTCTCCTCATTAGATCATATTTGTCTTTCTACTTTAAAAATGAAACAAACTTTCATCACTCTAATATCACATTGTGATTTTATTTAAATTTTCCTTTGTCTAAAACAAACTCATAATGCATGAGAAACATTGTATGAAACACAATGTGAATGAATAGTGTGAAACACAATGTATACAAACTTTGTAAGCAAACCAATAAAAAAGAGATTAACTATTTTTTCCAAAAAAAGGACTAATGCTACTAAAAATAAAGATAAATTAAAAATATGTGTAAGTTTAGTTCTTTTGTAGATGCCCTTTATCAGGTTAAGGATCCCTATTCTTAATTTGCTCAAAGTCTTATCTAGAATGGACCCTGTATTGGTGCCAAATGACTTTTCTGTGTCTACTGAGGTGATTTTTCAAAAGATCATTAAGATGATGTATTGCCTGGATTGATTTTTTTTTTTTTGAGTGTTAAGCTAACTCTGCATGCTTGGGATAAATCTCACTTCACCATGATGTATTATTCTTGTAAAGTGGTCCTGAATTCAATTACTAAAATCATATTTAAAATTTCTGGTTTTCTGTTTATGTAGGACACTAGTCTTTAGTTTTTTTATATAATTTTCAGCAGGATCTTGCTTGCATGTGATATTAATATTGTTTGATAATTTCCACACTCTTAACGGGTCACCTTTTTTTTTTTTAAATGGTAACAAATATGGATATCTACCAGTCATTTGGTCATGTGGTTGTCCTCCAGATTTTTGGCACAACTTGGTGAATGTGTCCAGGACAACAATTATTGGTTGAAATATGTCAATTCGTATGCCATCAATTAATATCCTGGGACCTTGTTGTTTGCTAATTCTTTGAGAACAGCTTGAACTTCCTCCTTCATCACCACAGGCTATTGATCAAATGCTGTTTCAAGAAATACTTCTGTGTCAGCCAATTCCTTTTGGTACAGTGACTCTGTATACTCTTTCCATCTTCTTTTAATGTTTCCTGGATCATTTCATATTCTGCCCAAAGCATCTTTAAGTATTACAACTTGAGGTTTGAATTTGTTCTTTAGTTCTTTCCGCTTAAGAAATGCAGAGCAAGTCCGCTTAAGAAATGCAGAGCAAGTTCAGTGCTTTTTTCAACTCCAGCTGTCATTATAATACTTTGCTTTGTATTCCCAAGATGCCCTTTGAAATCTTCTGCTCATCTCCTTAATTTCTTGATTTCTCTCCTTTGCTTTGGCTTCTCGGTGTTCTAGTGAAATATTCAGAGTTTCTTCTGACATCCATCTTCGTCTTTTATTCCTCCTCTATTTTTGTAATGACCTTTTCATGATGATACCCTTGATATCCTTCTGGTCTCACCTGGCTCACCTGGTCTTCACTCATTAGTGTTCAAGGCCTAAAACCTGTTCCTGAGATGGTTTTTAAATTCAGGTGAGAAAGACTCAGGGTCAAATTTTGGTTCCTGTGGATTTGATTTAACCTTCTTTAGTTTTCATTTGAACTTGCATATGAGTAGTTGATGGTTTCTTCCACAATCAGCACCTGGCCTAGTTTTCCCAGATGATATTTAGCTTCTCCAGCAATTCTTTCAACAGATGTATTCGATCTAATTCCTGTGACTGGAACAGTACATAAACAGAGAATTGCCAGATGTGCAGGCTCAGTTTAGAAGAGGCCATGGGACTAGGGATATTATAGCCAATGTTAGCTGGATCTTGGCTGAAAGCAGAGAATACCAGAGGACTGTCTATCTCTGTTTCTTTGACTATGCAAAGGCAGTTGACTCTGTGGATTACAATAAACTGTAGCTAACTCTGAGAAGAATGGGAGTCCGAGGACACTTGATTGTGCTTATGCGAAACCAATACCTGCTTGGATCAGGAGGCAGTCATCAGAACAGAGCAAGGAAACACTGTATGGTTCAAAATCAGAAAATGTGTACACTAGAGATGCATCCTATCTACATACCTTTTAAATCTATATGCAGAACAGATCATTCAGGAGGCTAGGTTCTGTGAGGAAGAACATGTGCAGATCGCACAACCTTGCTTGCTGAAACTCAAGCGAATCTGAGGCATTTGCTGCAAAAGGTCAAAGACTGCAGTCTTCATTATGGATTGAAGCTCAACATCAAGAAAACAAAGATTCTCACCATTGGGCCAGTTGGCAGCAACATGATAGATGGTGAAGAGACTGAGATTGTTAACAGCTTCAGCTTGTTTGGCTTACAATCAACATTCTTGGTACCAGCAGCCAGGAAATCAAAAGACAAATCGCATAGGGAAAATCTGCTGTCAGGGACCTCTCCAGAGTACTGAAGAACAATGATGTTAGTCTGGAGACTGAGGTGCGCCCAATTCTGGGGCCATGGTCTTCTCTATTACTTCCTATGCATCAGAAAGCTGGACAATAACTAGGGATGACAGAAGGAGAATTGGTGCCTTTGAGCTGTGATGCTGGAAAAGAGAGTTGAATATACCATGGACTGCTGGGTTAACAAACATGTTCATCCTGGAGAGGAAAAAATCAGGCTGCTCCTTGGAAGCAAGGATTCTGAGGCTCCATCTGCATGGTTTGTGCTTATTGCAAGGAGGGGATCAATCCTTGGAGAGGGATGTCATGCTAGGGAGGGACAGTGCAAAAGAGGAAGACTCTGGATGAGATGGATTGATTCAGTGCCTAGGGTAATGGGGGTAGGTGTGTCAGAGACAATAAAGTTGCCTCAGGATAGAGCACGGTTTAGAACTATTGTACATAGAGTTGCTATGAGTCCCTTGACAGCACATAACAATGACAGTTTTTAATTTTCTTTTCTAATAATTACTTTCTTTTCTTGTGATAACAGGTTAATTCCTTCCTCATAGAATGAGTCAGAAAGCTAGACTTTTCACATGTAAAAAAGAGTTTTGAGGAATTGATATTTTTAAAAATTTTACATAATATTTGATAAGTTTTATTGATGGGGGAAAAAAACAACCAACCCCAAAACAACCCAAAATGGTCTATTATTTCTTCTTTGGGAGACAGTGATGCCCTACACCACATATAGTAGATGCTGCCATGACTACATTTTTCTGGAAATACTTTCTCCTCTCACTGGATCCATTGTGGTTTTGTTTGGTTGGTTTTTGCTAAAATACTATAACATGAACTCACCATTTGTGTTTGTTATTCCAACATGAAGATCAGACTTTCCATCATACTCTCTGAAAGGGGTGTGGTGGGGAGGTGGAGAGAAAAAAAACAACACAATTCCTTTTATTTTTCTCCTTTTGCCCATATTTGTCATGATACTAAAGGCCAGTCTTGCTGGAACAGACATTGGTCCCCACAGGTCTGCAGCAGAGGCTACACAAAGGTGAGTGGTTGAAAAAACTCCTTGTTATAGCTTGGTTCTTAAGGCTGATAAGGGTGCTCAAACCCTGGATGTATCTCAGTAGGCCTCAGTATTAAAAACTGAAATAGCCTGTTAACATGTTATAGGCTATATCCACCTTCAATCTTCCTCAACAGACCATTTCCTAGAATTATTCTCCACTCAAAACTGTGACAGAAGTGTCCTGCAAACAGAAGAGCAGAGCCACTAAGTAAAAAGAAGACAGTCCTGGAGCAGAAGATCAGAGACAAAAACTTTTCCCCAGAACTACTTCAGGGATATATCTTTCCCTAAAGCTGGTACATGGAGTTCAAACTTAGAGCTTCCTAAACTCAAAAGAGACAGGTAGGTAGCAGGGTGAGAAACTGGCAGCCAATGGGAGATGCCCAGCATCAAAGAAGTGACTTGATGGCTGAACCATCATATCAAGGGTTGTCTTGGGGTGGGAAGGTGCTGGCCAGGGTAGTAGGGAGTGCAGGGGGATGCTGGTGGAGCAGGAATGGGACATACTTACCAAGGGGGACTCTAACACTGAGTCTATTGGTTATTTCTCTAATGAGGAAGTATCTTTCATCTGCTCCTTTAGGTCAAATGTTTGTCTGTCAGATTTTTTTCTTTTTTTCCCCCAGATATTATTCTAAAGCTGAGTATCCAAATTAATACAGACTAAGAAGAATGATAGGCCATCCACTTCCAAAATGACAGGTCTTTGAAAATCCTATGAGCACACTTAGAGTAAACTAGCAGATATGGCAACTGAAAGCAGACAGTAATGATTAGAAGAAGGAATGTGAGAAGTATGGAAGTAGGAAAATTGGATATTGTTAAGAAAGAAATGGAATCCATAAATACTGACACACTAGGCAATGGCAAAAAAAAATGGATTGGGATGGGGCATTTATAATCAGACAATCATATGACCTACTGTTCCAGAAAGGAAAAGGTGAGGGGAAATGGGGTTGCATTCATAGTTAAAAAGGTCATTTCTAGACCCACCTTGAAATATAATGTTGTGAGTGACAACATAATATTCATATGCATACAAGAAAGACATTAATACCACTATCATTCAAATTTATGCACCCAGAGCCAAAGGGGAGAAATAGATAACTTCTACCAATGTTTGCCATCGGAAATCCATCGAACATGCAACCAAAATGCATTGATAATAATGGGTGACTGGAATACAAAAGTTGGGACAGGTAAGAAGGATCAGTAGCCAGAAAGCATGGATTTGGTGACAGAAATGAGGCTGGAGATAGAATGATAGGATTTTGTACAATCTGTATTTTTTTCATTGCAAATATTTTTTATAAGAAACCTAATCAGCCACTAAGAACATGGATTTCACCTGATGCACAGGAATCAGACGGATCACCTTTGTGGAAAAGAAAATCATTGGAGAAGCTTAATATAAGCAGTGAAACCTAGGTCAGGTACTGATGTGGAACAGACCATCAACTACTCATATACAAGTTCGAACTAAAGCTAAAGAAAATTAAATCAGAGCCACAAGGCCTGCGCCAGCCACAAGGCCTGCGCCCCCGCGAAGAGACCCAGGAAGAGCAACAGTTTGCCAGCCACCGCGGAACTCCAAAGGTGGGAAAATCGTGTGACCCCAGAGGAGCAACAACTACCCACCACTGTGTGACCCCCCTGCAGCATGCACCTGCATGACCCCCAGGCCCCCACCACACAGGGTCCTGCTGCATAAACCCCCAGCAGCGCCCAAGCCCTGCCCCCTACCTCTTGGTAGTAGTGTCCAAGCCCTGTGCTCCTTTGTCCCCTAGTCCCTTGCTTTCCTCCCCTTCCCCC